TGTGAGGGACTGTTGGTGCAGTGCACAACACGACACAGCTGTGCTTCTTTGAGGTGTTCACCAATTGACCCAAAGAGACCCAAAGACTTCAGCATAGGAGGGTTAACCCAGACAAAAAAATCATAACAAGTCAGGATCTCTGCTCACAGTACAGCCCGTGCAAAGAACTTTTGCCGACCATTTACCCGCAATGCACTGCGAAAGAGCACTCACCATGCCAACTTACTGGTGCCGCACAGCATTGTGAATTGCCGGTATTCCTTTCATGAAGAATTCACATTAAAGTTGCAAAGTTGTACAACAATAAAGGAATGTTTTTGTCACCACTGAATAGCCTGTGACTTGGCTTCAGACTGAATGACCTGTGATGGACTTGCAGGGACTTGTGGTGGCCCTTACCACACTACCAGGAAGTCTTCTGAAGTGGTTAGATTTGGATTTAAAGTACGACGCTCAGCTCACTACATCCTTCAAATAATTTCTATATTCACCTCAAGGAAAGGCTCTGTTTACTGTACAGACATTACTCCAGTAATGAGTACTCGCACACTCTGAGGAACTTCCAAAATATCTTATTTATAAACAAATAACTTGGGAGTCTTTGCTAATCAGGATTTCCACAGGGCAAGTTCAATCCAGGACCAGTAGTTAACGTGTGGTTGGTTTAGGACGCACCTAGCACATGTGCAGTGAAGTTGAAGTGCCAACGACTCTAGTCAACTGTTGTCAAGTCATTTTGGTCGCTGGTGAGGAAAAGTGGCCCAAGCAAGGGCAGAAGAATAGACCAGTGACGTTGATCGTTTACTCGCGGCATACTGTTTTAATGCCACTTTCTTCTTAGAACTGGTCCTCTCTGCACTATGCAAATAAAACGGCTGTGAACGGCTATGGCAACCAACGGCGTGACCAACCTTGGTGGGGCTGGCCACAAATTGACATCTAGGCTAGTCCAACCATTGCCGACTAACATGCGTTCCATCAGAGTTAGTTTAACTATGGTTAACTACAGTCCTTGATTGAACCTGCCCATATCTTCCCGTGCACTACGTGTGGCAGGCAACATGTACTTACAAATACAAGTAAGTGCTGACATTTTGAAACGATTTCTCTGAACCATTTCAATATTCCCTTTATTAAAATATTGGATCCCCTAGGGCATAAACACTAACATGATAGCAAGCAAGCACACATTCCAAGGAATCTCAGGGTAAATGAGCACTGTGGTGCACCCAGGATTTGTCACTGAGGGAGAGCGCGGAGCTCGGACTGGAATTTATCCCCCAAAATAGCTCCTGGTGCTCAAGTCCCCGCCCATCCCATACTGTGCCACAGGGGACTGGGATGTACATGTACAGAAATATCAGACATAGTACATTAAGAGGTAGGCATATACTGTATCTTCTTTTCCCGCAAGCTACTGAATGAGCATCCTTTGACTTGCTTCACTGGAGGTTTTGCACATGAGAATCGCTATTTTTCAATGTGCTATTTATTTCATTTATTTATTTATTTGCTGTCTTATTTACACAGGGTGGCCTCGTCAATTATAAAACTGCTTTCTATGAAGGCCTTGTTTCAACTTATATGAATTTAAATATATAATGTAAAGATGTGTCTGGCTGACTTACAAATAACTGCACCAAAGGGGTAAAGGCATATGAAACTGTATACAAATTGTTGTCATGCTACGTTTGCAATCATTTTGTGAATTTGACAGCCAAACAACTTGTCTGAGGTACGTACCTGCGTCATGAACTGCATGCTGGCTGACTGTTGCTGGCTGGTTGAGGAACTCATGCTGCGGGACACCGTGACGGCGCTGGGACCTTCTCTGTCCTGCCCCGATGACGACACCACCTTCGAGGACATCTCACTCTGCGTCAGGCTCTGCGAGCTGGAGCTGTGACTGACCACAGACATGCCAGTGCTGCCCCTTGTCTGCTCCAGCAAGCTGTCACCGGTGAGTGTGAATGTCAGCTCACCGCCACCGGTTTGGTTCGAGAAGGCGTTGTCGGAGAGGTCAAGTTGCTGCAGCATGGAGGCAGCATCTGTTGTCACCTTCTGGGTGGAGGTGACCAGTTCGCTGCTGCTTGCTGCTGTCAGGCTGCTGCTGGAACTGCTGCTGCAAACCTGCCGTGTCACCGTGGACGTGCTCCCGCCGCTCATCTGACGGATCATGGACGACGACACCTCCCCGCTCATCTCACTCGAGGTGAAGGAGGCCACTCGCTGGCTGCTAACTTGTCGTGAGACTGATGTCATCGAGGAGGAAGACGATGACATCTCCCCACTCATCTGTCTCGTGACGGACATCGTGCCATTGCTGGTCACCTCCCCGTCTGGAGTGATAGTGAATGATGCCAATTGCCCGCCACTGCTCGTTTCCCTCATAACTGACGTTTGCTGTGAGGACTGGAAGCTACTTGATGACTGCATCTCACCACCTAGGAAAAAAAACAAAATTTGAACATCCAACTCTCCTCCAATGAAATAGACATCAGAAAAACAACCCTATCATTCTATCATCCTTCAACAATCCATTTTATTTGGAGAATTTGAGAAAGACTAGTTTTTCACATAAGACTTAACAGCCCTTGGAAACTTAAGTGCAAAGAAAGTGTCACTGGATCATGCCATGAAATGAATTTTAGATCGCGCCACGGGATGAATTTTAGAGAATTCAGAATGTTTCCTGGCAAAAAAAATGTGGAGGGAGTTAAGGTGAAGCTCATCCTACAAAATCTTCTAATCCTCCCTTAGGATTTCAAAGGATCTGGGAGTATGGTAATCAATTGCATGAGGCTGCCACAAACCTGAGATCGAGCGAATGATTTTACCATCCCCATCAGTCTCAGCTACCATCGAAACCACGCCGTCGCCCTCTGGAGTCCCGACGTTGCCATCCATCACAATCTCCTGGCCCCCAACCACTTTGACCTGGCGCACGGTGCGCGTCGTCTTCACCACCCGTGTGCTGCTGCTGCTCGACGACGATGTGAAGCTGCGGTTCACAGACACATCACCCACTCCTGATTGGATGGAGAGGGCACCCTCTGGTGACAATTCGGCCCCGTCGGTGCTCATTGTGATTGTGAAGGGGGAGTTGACGTTTTGCAAAGTACCGGTTGAAGAGAGAAGGGTCAGGGCAGAGGGTTCACTTGCGACTTGCAGAGGAGTTGCAGAGCTGGAATCTGTTGCACAAAAATTGACGAGAAAAGAACAGAAAAATGGAGAGAAATGAGCTACGAATTTCTAGAACATAAAGTGTGCACAACATGATGCGTTATTATCCCTGCTTGTCAAATCCATTCCTCATTTCTGAAGCATCACTCCAGGGAACTGCTTACAGCTTTGGCTGCAAATCAGTTCCTCGGAAGGCTGGCACCAACATGAACCCAATGGTGCAGGTACATTGTATCCATTTCTCTTCGGCACATTTTTGAATAAATGAAAGTTGTGACAAAGTGGCTTGCTCAGGGACATGACCCCTGGCTTGGGTTCTAAATAGTCTTCACGTACATGAACATGTATGGTACCATCTGGGAGGGATGGGTCCAACGCTGTTAACCAATGAGCCAAGACAATCCAAAGAAATTATAAAAGATTTAATAAAGCTGGAACCTAATTAACAAGTACATAAATGTACATGTACAAGAACAAGATGTTTAAAACTGGGGAGAAACACAAAAAATGAATTTTGTGTTTGAAAATATTGAAATCTAATTGAAATCCAGAACTGTAAGGTTTATACAAACTTTACAGATAGCCATGTACAAACTCCCATTAACACACTCTGGCAGTTTTGAATGTGCCAACTTTACCCTTCCATCACAGCTATTTGTGCAACTAAATTTCATACATGCCTTCTCCGTGAAGTTAGATGTCAGACGGGGAAGGTTTATTCACCTTGTATCCTCATTAAAATAGGGAAATTCCTGAGCATTTTGTCCATCCATACTACAGAAAGTCGGCAGCATGTACTCTCAATAACTGTCAGCTGTGTGATAGCTTGACCAATCACAACACAGCTCTTATCTTATCCTTTTGTTTTCCTGACACCACCCAAATGAAAGCTGAGCTATGACTGGTCATTTGAATGGAGTCAAATTGGACTCTGTATAAACCTTACAGTTCTGAAAGTGATTAAAATCGGAGGATTTGGGACTGTTGGGGAATTAAGAAAACACAAAGACTGAGATAAAATTACTTGGTTTTTTTAAAAATTCAGCACAGACAAACAGTCACAATGCCTAAGTTTGTCAACCTGCCATGTTCACGCCAAAAAACAACTACAGTTTAAAATCAATTTAGACTGACCTTAACAAGCACGGGTGAGATCGGAGGACATTGAAAATCCACGAAATAATCACCAGAAGTTTTGAGGGCCTATAAGACAGCCTGAAGTCTATGGTATACCTTTGTTTTTGCATCCCTTAAAAACCATTTCTTGTGTTCTATATCAACTATCGCAGATTAAAACAATGTCATGGTAAAATTAGGTTTATGCTGATGGCGGGAATATCCTGATAAAAAATCCTGAGATCAGGAAAAATTCTGACATATCTCAGCCCTGAACAATGCAGAACTTTAGCATCTGCAACAACCTGCGTCAACTAGCATACAGCATGCTGCAGGTACATCACTCAATCAGAAGGCATGGGTGTGGCTGCAATAGGCACCCTTTGCACTGCACAGGGCAGAAACGGTTTGGGTTATCCTGCCTCTGTGATTAACTGCACCAGCAATCGGTGAAGTACTTACGATTTTGAGCAAATCAGTAAAAATGTTCATGGACATGTGTACCTCACACCATGGAGGAATGTGTTCCTTCCTCCATGCTCACACCATGTAAATCTTGAAATATATACATACCAGACTGGATTGAATTTAAAATGCAGTTATCGATGTATACATGTACAGGAAAACTGCAAATAACCAGCAAGCAGAGATACACTGGACTGTGACATGACCCTAAATAAAGACCTCTGGCTGTGAGTGACCACTGGCCCATAAAATGCATTCCAAAATCCTGGCTGTTTGTCCTGGGCTTGTTATGTAACCTCAGAGCCACAATGACAGCAGTAGGTCAGGATTCTATTTTGCAAGCCTAATCCCAGATATCCACAGAATCCTTATCATTAACAAAAGACAGGAACCATTATGGTCCAAGGTGATCCTACAAGCTGTTACTGTATTTAATCATTCAAGGGTTAAGGACTACTGCCTTTTAATGGGGCACCTTTTAGGTACAGGTGTACACAAAACCCTACCCAATAAAAACAGATTCATGTAGTTTGAAAGATCTTCTACATGTACAAGGTAACAATTCCATGCCTCTAAGCCTGACATTTTTGTCGAAAACATAACGACGGAGGGTTTCTTTCCTCGTTCTCAAGAAAACAGAAAATGTGATGAGATGGATTTGGCCCAATTGCCAAGAAGTTTCTTCAAATATTCAGAAATCAATTTTGAAATCTCGAGACTTGCAAAACTGACATTGCTGGAGCAAACCAGAAAAATCAGGAAAAGTCCAATTTGTGCATGAATTTCATGACTGGCGATGATGATCCAACAATACAGATACTCAAAATTGTAACCAAAACAAAACATTCAGGCTTCTGACATTTATTTGGTTTGAAACTTTTCAAAAGTTCCGGCTCCTGTTTCACAAAGAGGAAGGAACAAGGAGCATCAGGGCATGGTGCCATTTACCGTTTGTGTGTCAAGTGGAAACCGGCAAGTGAGATCTAAATGAGCAACTTGAATTTCTTTTACAACACAGGGGCAATTACACTGTAAAGCACGGTCCTTCTTAACTTCAGGAAATGGACAAATATACCATGAGTAACATTTCCATCATGACTTTTCTCTAAGCCTGGGCAGAATATTCAAATATTCAATCAATTATCAAATACTCACAGGTGCAAAACAATACAATAAAGAGGAAAACATTTGGTTTCTCCGTAACCAAATTGCTTCCTTAAAACTTGATCCCAAACAGAAAACACTACACTGCTTCCAATTATATGTGCCAACCATGTTTTTGTTATGATTTTGTGTTATTTTTTGCATCAATGAAAATTCCTTTTCTACAGGCTTGGCTGACCCAAAAATTTGCCACAGAGCTTAATATTTAATCCAATATCAGGTTGAATATTTGAATAACCAATTACTCAATGTGACTCTGCCCCGTTCTTCTCATGGTTAAACTTTTACAAACTCATTCAAAGTGCAAACTGATCTTGATAAGCCAATATCAGACAGTATTTGTTTTTTCAGTTTGTTTGTTTGTTGGGGTGTTGGGGTGTTTGTTTGTTTGTTTGTTTGTTTGTTTGTTTGTTTGTTTGTTTGTTGGGGTGTTTGTTTGTTTGTTTGTTTGTTGGGGTGTTGGGGGTTGTTGGGTTGCTTGTTTGTTTGTTTGTTTGTTTGTTTGTTTGTTTTGTTTACTATGTTCTAATTTCAAATTGAAACAAGTGAACAACCAATGTGGTGGGTAGAAAAGGGGAACCTGTATACAAAGACTATGAACTTTGGGATGAAAAAATCATAAAGTTCTGGATCAAAACACAGACTTTTCATAAGTTTCTAAGACAAAATTCCAAGATTTTCTGCACTCTTCGTCCAAATACAATGAAGTTTAACCTTAAAGACACCCATGTATTTCAATACTTTTCATTTTACTGTTGGACATCTGCATGGAGAAGGCTCACTTACAAGTTATAACCTTGGTCGTTGCAAAATGGACAACAGAACAAACCACAATAAAGCACAATTTTGGAAAATGGACCGTGAATGTGGCAAGATGGATTTTTAGACAGAATTTACAAACTTGAGGCAATTAAATTGTATTTTTGCTTGTAAACACAAAAATACCTTGTCAGCTGAGTGACCCACCAACTGACGGACCTACCCACCGTACCAGCTGGCCACGCTGATTTGTTTGCATAGGTGCACTTTACGTTCACTCACAGCACTGCGGATACCAGTGTAAACGGTTGAGCAGTCCACTGTATTACTGTTTGCCGGTCTGAGAACCAGACTACTTTTTCCATCACAGCAAGTTCATGCGGCCGTGATATGGTATTCACCGATCACAAAGGATGGCTACTTTTTAAAAGTCTAATTGATCGGTGCCAGAGGAGGACAGGCCGTTCCGGAAATTCCAGATGACACCCCGCCCCCGAATGAGAACTAACTCTACCCGTGTGCCGATGTACATGTACAAATTCTCCTAATTATTTTTTTTCACGATTTTTGCAACTGTAAACATTAATACAATAATATTGCAGTGATTCGTCTTACCTGTGGTGTCTAGCAAGCCGGACTGCATAAGTGTCTCTTCCCCGGGGGGTTCAACTATCAAACTTCCGTTGGTGTCTAGAGCAGTGCCATCGCTCAAAGAGACATCTGTAGGAGCCTGGTCTGCCGATGGGGGTGCCTCTGCTATCACAAAGCTTGTGAATTCGGTTGGTGAGTGGTCTGGGAGAGATGCGGCACTGATGGGATCGGTGGATGGCACCTCAAATTGGGCTGCAGCCGAAGTGATTTCAAACTTGGGTTCCCTCGCCTCAGAGCTCGTCATCACAAAGCTGGTGAATTCGGTTGGTGAGTGGTCTGTGAGAGACGCGGCACTGATGGGATCGGTAGATGGCACCTCGGTTGGGGGTGCTGCTGATGTGATTTCAAATGCAAGTCCCTCATCGTGGAAGCCTGTCGTTACAAAATTGGTGAATTCAGTTGGTGAGTGGTCTGTGAGAGATGTGGCACTGACGGGATCGGTAGACGGAACTTCGGTTGCAGGTGCAGCCGATGCAATTTTGAACGTAGGTGCCTCATCCTGGGAGCCTGTCACAAAATTGGTGAATTCGGTAGGTGAGTGGTCTGTGAGAGATGCGGTGTTGATTGGATCGGTAGATGGCACCTCAACTTTGGCTGTGGCCGACGCGATTACAAACGATGGTTCCTCTGTCTGGGAGCTTGACATGGTACCAAAGGAATCATCCATATTAGATGGAGTCTGGTCCCCGGCTGGGGTTAAGTAATTGGTACTCGGGGTGGTGTTTACAGTGTCAAAGCTCAGAAACTCAGTCTGATCTGCGCTGTTGGGACTGGTTACTGAGTGGAATGACATGGAAACTTCATCAGGATGAGGGGTTCCTGCGAGGGACAAGCTGGCAGTGGATATGAAACTATTGGGGCCGTCGTACCCAGCTGGTGTCAAAGTGGAGGTGTTGGCAGGGGGTTCAAATAGCTCTTCACTTACTACTGGGGTGCTGGAGAGGTTCGTATCGACGACCTTCTCTGGTGAACGATGTGGTGTACCGGGAGAGGACTTGTCAGTGCCTACCAAGGTTGGGATTATATTTGATTTTGGTGCTTGCTCGGAATTTTTGTCCATGATGTTTTGTCCATCATCTTGTTCGGGAAATAGAGGATTGGAATGAGTCACAGGCATTTCGACTTGTGTCACGAAATCTGGCTGAAGGCCGTCAACAAGAGCATCGCTCCGTGCTGCCTGTGGGACTGCTTCGACGTTGGGCTGCGCGATGGCCGTCACAAAGTCATCGTCGAATCGTGGCTGGTCATCGGGTGCAGTGGTCTCCGCATTCATGTTTCTGTTGGGGCTTGGCGCGCTGATATCCTCCTCCGGAGCTGATTTGATGAAGGCCACCGGTGCCGCTCCAAAATCGGATTCGAACCCCACCGTCTTGTCGGGCAACTCTGACTTGGCTGGCGGGGGCACTATAACAGCTGGCGGCTCTTGTTTTGCCGGCGAGGTCTTCTTGGTCTCCCCAGGGGGGACAAAGTCATCCTCGAATCCAGCGGGTGGGTTCTTTTGGATTGGCAAGGGGGGTTCTCCTTCGTCCTCTTTGCTGGACTCTGAGGACTCCTGCAGGGCGGCCGGCTTGAGCGTGTTCCAGCGGGCTTCAAAATCAGGCATGTCCACCCGGTCCCGGTTATTCTTGAGGTACATGATGAGGTCGTGCAGTTCCTTCATGGAAGGGCGGATATCGGCCTCCAACCAGCAGTACATCATGATCTCAAACCTGAGAAACAAGAAATAAATCGTCATGGCTGACAGACCATTCCTTTATGGATGGAAGAAGGCAAACCCATACTCCTGATGTGCCCTAACGTAGCCCCGCCCCTAGTGTGGTACACTTTAATTTTCCTTTAGACTCAAGTGCCTTTTACTAGAATAGTATCTTTTCACCTCATACTTTGAAATAAGTGAAATGTCATCAAACTCTTGATATTCCCGTTCATAAATCTTGAGTTTAGGTACCCGCTACAAAGTTCCAATGAAACTTGATTTGGGCCCGATTTTTCCCATTTTTGAAGTGCAAAATGGACTCTTTTAAAATGTGCCCCCCCAACTAACAAAACACAAGTAATTTTCTGACAAACCTGTCATTGGGTGTGAATGATAAAATAATAAAATACAAAACCTAAAACAAAAAACAAGTAACCAAAAAGAAAAACAAGGTCTACAGTGTATGTACAAACTTGTAATGTGCATTATAGCAATAGGCACGGGACATCAACAGGGAGAGTTGAACAGGATTAGACAGTACATGAGGAGGAGGCATAGCATTGTACAGATAATGCAACTTGAGTTTTCGTCGAACAGTAGTGTTAAAACTGGATCTTTTGAGAGGCGGTGGTAAAGTATTATGGGCCCAGGATGTTGTTGTTTTTTGAAACGCAGATGTTCTTTGTCCGGTTATGTGGAAATACAAGTTATATGATACTCCGATAACATATCCTTGTCAATAAAGGAAAAGCAGGGGTGTGAGTGGCCACTTTAACTTAAAGCTGAAAACGGCTAGCAAAAAGCTGACAAATTAAAAGTTCCCATACATTTGTAAACAGTGCACAAAAAAGGTTGAAATTGAGGGTCAACATCTAAACCAAAAAAAGCTGAAATCAGCTAAAAAGCTGAATTTTTTCATACCCCTGGAAAACTCAATCATTTGTCGTTTGTGCATTAAGTTCTTTTGAGGTAACAAAATTACTCAGAGTTTATCGATGGGTGACGAAGACCAGACCTGCGTACTCCACAACAAACAATATTTCGGGATTTCCATTTCAAATCAGAAGTTGCTGAGAAATGTTTTTGGAATTGGGCCTAAATTCGGTGCGCTAACCTTACACACCTAGTGTAGACTTGTGAACAAAAGATGTCCACACAATGCAGGAAAGGAAGACATTCTGTGGACTTACACATGTCCACAGGACGTTTCCCCTTCTCTGAAAAAGAAGTTTAGAGGCATTTTGGGGTTGGGGTCATCCGTCCTAAAAGGAAGAGGGATGGTCAAGGAAACCGTGGAAAAAAAAACAGCTGAAAAATCGTGTTCCCAGTTCAAGAAAAAGGAGTATTTTCACTGAGGTCTCCTGATGGCACAAAAAGAAAGGAATGTCCACACTAGGTACATGTACATGTACGTAAAGTACATGAGTGTGCGCACATGTGTCACGTCAATGCTTGTGCAGGCCTCTAATGACAATTTTCAAAAATGTGCCTTCCTATGCTGAAGTCACTCTTTGGGTCACTTGGTAAACACCTCAAAGAAGCACAGCTGCGTCATGTTGTGCACGGCACCAACATGCAAGAGAGTGACCTTGGGCCAGGTACACATTTGTGCTGCAAAACAAAAGGAGGGTTAACACGCAGCACTGGAAATGGCCTTCTTTCACCGTTTTCTTCAAAATGACGGCTTGCCAGAAAGACTACCTTCACAGGGAGTCTTTTCAAAAATAACTTGGTCGGTTACTTTTTGGACCACTGCAAATGATGGACTGCACCTCTTGAGTCTTGATTCCAACCATACTGTCTTCTACTTCAGTGGTCTTGGGGGCATGGAAAGGATTCAAGTACAACACGGATACTCACCATCTGGAAGCGTAGTGGATCTTCAGGTTGGGCTTGTCCACTCGGATCTCTTGTTCCTTCACCACCTGCTGGAGCACCTGCTCGTCTGTTAGCTTGGCGTACGGCCGCTTGGCGCCGGTGGACAGCTCCAGCATCATGATGCCGAAGGACCTGGCAGGTTGAAGTGAACGAGAAGACATGTCAGACAGAACCCTTCTGATTTACGTATCATTTCTCCGACTGAAAATGAAAATTAAAAATGGCAGTCTCTGATGTCCAAACGAGGGGAAGTCGTCTACCCAAGAAGGCCATAATGGCTTCGAACTGTGGACATGGGTTCAAACTATGGAGTGCCAGACTAGACAATATTTGGTTCTTACTCACCAGACATTGGATTCTTTGGTGACCTTCTTCGTCTTGACCGAGCCGTCGTCCTTCAGGTCAATGACCTCCGGGCCCAGCCATCGGATGGGTATGGCTTGACTGTTGTCTCTGGTGATGTAGTAATCGTCCTGGTCAGGGGAACGATAGGACAAGGTATCATAGACCATCATAAATAACAGTTATCCAAATGTCTGTGAAAGAATTCAAATATACTCAGGTGGGACTCAAACCCACAACTTCCCGCTACCTAAATTGTAGATATCTTACCACTCAAACTGGCCAGCTAACCCGGACAAGCTCAACGGTTGAGTGGTGAGGCATCTGCACTAGTGAGCAAGAGGTCAAGGGTTCGAGTCCAACCAAGGCAAGTTTATGAATTCTTTCACAAGTGTTTGGACACACTGATCCAACAATGTCAGCAAATACAGGTCTGTGAAGGACAAAAATTAACATTTCCCCGACACCAAAATGGCATCTTACGACAAGCACGAGGATGTCATTTTATTTTATTTCAGAGGTAATAATTTGATAAATTGACAAGAGATTAAAAACTTACGGGGTACTTCTCAAGGGCAAGGCCGTAATCGCCGATCTTGACCGAGGTGTCTGCACATACTTGGCAATTGCGAGTCGCAAGATCACTGCCAACAAAAATTTTAAATGTCCCTCCGTGAGACTCAAAAGAAAAAAAGACTGAAAAAAAAAACTGTTAGGGAAGGGTCTCTGAATGTGCTGATGGAAAGGCAGGTAGATGTACAGTTTGAATGAAAGATTCTACAAATTGAACGGTTACATGCCGTCAACTTCAGATATAAGAAATGTCGCTTTGTAAACCTGGCAAAAGCAGTTCTTTGCTATGGAGGTGACAAACAGTCAAGTTTGTCATTTTGTTTTGGTCACGGCTGATCTAGCTTTCACATTGGAAAGTCTGAGCTAGTTTTAGCATAAGAATGTAGAGTTTTGGTACGGACACCAACGCCGAAAATGGCGCCAAAAATGAAACAAAGTGAAATTTGAAACTGGTTAAAATTATGAAATTATTCAGGGTTCTGACGGTGGATTTGCTGAACCCCCAGAACCCAATCAGATCGTCTTTAGCCCTAACCCTCCAGGCTTCTGTACTAGAAACAGTACTGAATCTAACAAAGTTCAACAGATGCAACTTGTATCTACAAGGGGGTCACCGTAATGACTGGCACGTGACTGGATAGAATCTGTTAAACTCCAACAGGTAAAGGATGTCGAAGGTCTTGGCAATATACAAGTGACTTGTAGAGTAGTATGTACAGTACCAAACCTGACAAAAATCAAGCACAGTCCAACACACGGTACCACTAGCCAGTCACTCCATGGAGTAACCGCTGTGTGTCCCCGCTCAAACAAAATCCAACACCATCATCCTAGGCCTTCGTTCCTCGATCCAACAAAGTTGAACATTGCGTTAATAACGTATGACCAACACTTGACAAAACCCACAGTTGGAGTTGGAGGGACTTGGGTGGTTTGGATTAAGTATGAAACCTTGCTTAGCAAAGAAATTTTTTTACCAAAACCCCAGAATACCAACTGCAATGTCATGCATTATAGTTGACTTGCGACTGGCTCTCGGCTCTTACATTTGGTGAGCGACTTACTGCCGATGCTTACATGTAAATGAAGTCAGCCTGGTGCAGCCACATTAGGCCGCTGACCATGTCTGCGGCCATCTTGAGCTGGATGTCTTGCTGGGCCATCTGTTGGACCTCGCCCCGATGCTTCCACAGATAGGACTTGAGGTCTCCCTACAATCCGGAAAAGGTACGTTCTTATGGACAAGTTTTGTCCCCACCATATGCCAGTCTCCAAGGTTGAGATGTGCAGGTGAGGGACAGTTTGGACACAAATGTGACCAGCTCCACAAAAATGGGTATTATGGGCCATTCTTTTCATACACATTTGAATTGGCTACATTATAAGCTTTCATTTGGTGTAGGTTTGAACCGTGTGGCATTTTGCAACCTGGAGATATATTGATTTTTGCATAATCATACCATACACATTATCAGAACTGCTTTCAGAGATAAAGCCGTTTAAATACAGCAACCCATTAACCCACAGCAACAGTCAGATTTCTTGTATGAATTGTGAAAGTACTGATACAATAGACGCCATTAAAACAAGAAGTAAAAATCACCTTGCCCCTTAAAAAAGCCCTTAGTGTGAAACAGCACAACCCTTTAATAAGTGTTACTACTTGTTGCTACAGTACGCCTGAATGAGAAGCCCCCGAAAAAAACAACATCGACGTCAAACGTAACCAAACAAGATATTGTTAATTTTAGAACAATATGCCTCAGTGTGGTGAATTCTTAACGGTCAGATTCAAAAGTAATTCTGTTTTACATTTTGGTTAATGGATTGACCAATATTTGAAGTTGAGGGAATTTTCACTTCTTCCCTTCAAAATCTTACTGGACTTGAGCATTGCTGATTTCACATGTATCGTTTCACCCCGCACTATACGCCGTGGCAACAGACACACTTCCAGAGCGTGAAATTACAGCTTGATATCTCCCATTTTCCCACAACTTTTGTATTTGTCCAACCAAAGGTAGATGCAGTCAGACAAAATATCTTAAGGCAATTAAAGGGAGAAGTTGGTGTTTAAACTCTGGTTTTGGCAACAACAATATTCAAACCGTAAGAGTGTGTATCCAAGCGACCCTGTCCTATCAAAATCTGATAATAACAGATCAAAATTGATCTTTTTTTTGCCTGATTTCACTGACTGCATTTCGATGGTCCAAGATTGACAGAATTGTTAGAGGGATACTCACAAATGGTGCATACTCCAGAATAAGCAACAACGGCATGCTGTCAATACACTGGCCCAGGAGCAGCAAGACGTTAGGGTGGTTCACCTCCCTGCAATGAGTACATGTATAACGAACAGGTTTTAACCTCCACTCCCAAGCCGTTCTTGGCTGGAAACTGCAAAAAAAACCTCCACTGGGCTCAGAGTCCACAGTGATAAGTTTTTAACTCCGACCTTACAATGCAACAATGGGGTTTTCAAGAAGAGTTCAATGATATGGAGGCTTTGCTTGGTAGTCATCTTGCAGGGTGGTTCTTTTGTTGCACAGATAAACCTCCTTTGTGCATACCCTGAGGAACAAAAGTGCTGGCCTACACGATGACAGCTCAGCAAACCCTCTATTTCTGCTTTAAAAATCAGAGTCACAGAAGTTGCATTTGAACAATTCTCTAGCCACGTAGCATTATGCACTGAAAAAATGTACTCACTGAAAGGAAAAATACCTTTACTGCCCCAGCCCCTCGGCGAAAAGAGTTAGACAATGGCCAGCATGTCACCCTTATGACCTCCGCCATGGGGTCAACTAATGTCAAATAGCACTCGAATAGGTCACAGTACAGTGACAATGTATGCTTGTGCACTGCTTGAGACAGAGGCTAGCAAACAACAGTCAAGGAAGGACTGGCAACGTATATGAAATCCATCAGAACTCTAAGAGAACTGCCTGTTACATCAGAGCGTTGAATTTATCCCTGACGGTCCGCAATCTGGCAATTTCAATATGATTTTGATGTCCACCCTAACGGGTTAGGGTTATTTAAAAGGTTCAACGTTTACGCCAAACTTCAGCCGCAGGTACCAGGCAACGTCAAAATCTTTGCTGAGCAGCGAATTGAAAACATCATATGCAACATATTTTACAATCCACGCATTATGGTTAAAAACAGAGAAGCAGCAAAAAATGTGTAAATTAAACTTCATGAAATGTGTGAGAATTATCAAGGTGATGTTTAGTGTATTATTTTGATGACCACTCGTTGAAACTTGAGAGTAAATGAGGTAAAAGCATGGCCCAA